AGTTTCATTATTCCATTCAGCGGTAACTTGTCTTAAAATATTTCTTCGTCCTTTTTTGCAGATTTTTACAAGTATTCTTTTATTTCTATCAGAAACTAACTTCGGACGAACTGAACTTTCACCCTTTTTTTCTAAAATTTGCCCATTTTTTCCATAATGTTTAGTTACTTTCCACGCTGTGGTTTTAGGAATATTAAGTTCGTCTGCTTTTTCACGTATTGTTTTATTGTGGCAATAATTTTTAATCACTAATTCACGGATTTTTAATCACCATTTTAATTGATAAATACAGATTTACTCAACAGCAACAATGTTACAAGCTTTAGAACAAACCGGCAATTTAACATTTCATTTTACGTTATTTCCACAGTTTACTTATCTTAATTTGTTCCATTTTTATGGAAGTTACTTTACATTGTCCCAATATTAAGTTGTCAGGTAAAATATACATTTTTCTAGTTTAATTAGATGCAATAGGGTATGTATTTTTTTTGTGTTGTTCATTAGACAAAATTGTTGTTAATTATACAGTGTGTCCCCGGATAGGTGAAACGACTCTTATAAAATGTAAAATTTTTTCCATATTAATTGTCATCTTTTGGGGTTCAGCCCTGCTTGGTTAAAGATTAATTTTGAACATATTTTCAAATTTTAAAAAACAAGTGACTGTTGACACTGAAACGAAAACTTCTTGTGCATCAGGTAAAGTACCTTTTCTCTTTACAGTATTGTAAAATGTTACTAAGAAATTTTATTCAGAATGAAAAGTTAGGGCTATATGAAAATTTTCGGAATCGTCGGCCTACTTTGATAAAACCCATTTTTGGTGTTTTTTCGTCAATAGTACTTTATTACGATTTTTTGTTTTGAGATTCAGATTATTCGGAAGAATAAACAAACTGTTCTTAAAATGTTCACAAAAAATTAAGTGTGTGTTCGCCCACAAAAGAAAACAGTTAATCATAGTTAACAGTTAATCAGTTTCATCATATTTTTTTTTGTTAGAGTGAGTACTTCCTGCTCTAAGAAATCTTTTGATTAAACGCCAACAAGTACTTCTTTTAATTCCAATATTTGGAAATTTTTCACTAAATAAAGCAATAACCATATTTATCGGCTTCTCCCCGGTTCCATAACACTGAATCACATAAACTTTTTCCTCTAATGTTAATATTGTATTTAAAAAACACTTTAAATTTACTAAATTACTGTTTGACAGGATAACAGTGACAGGAAAACAATTTTGTTTTATCCATGGCAGTCTTTGTTAGAAATAAAAATGTTTGTTATGGATTTTTTCAAAGTAGGCCGATCAATCCGAAAATTTGCATATGGCCATAGTTTTTCATTCTGAACAAAACTTCTTAGTAACACTTTCACGTACTGTAAACAGAAACGATACTTTACCTGCCACAAAACGAGTTTTTCTTTCACCGTCAAGGCTCATTTGTTTTTTAAAAATTGAAAATATGTTCAAAATTAGTCGTTAATCAAGTAGGGTTAAACCTCAAAAAATGAGAATTAATATCGAAAAAATTTACCTTTTATAAGAGTCGTTTCACCTATCCGGGGACACACTGTATAATCAAATGATATTAATCTGAAAAAATTATTAAAAGAAATTAAACTGTTTAATTATTGTTAATTATATACACATTTTATTTTGTCCCAATATACCGGGTGTCCCCAAAAGTGGCTCACCCCCATATTTTTCTTTATTATTGGTGATATAAGAAAACCATTTGGAATGCATAGTTAGGTCGCTAAAACGGATTATTACGACATGAAATCATTCTTTTTGTACTTCCGGTTATACCAGATGTGAGTACTAATTTCGCTATTTTTTTAAATCTATAATTTTTTTTTCTTCAGTTGGGTTGATAGTATAATTTCACATAACTTTTACTTGAAAAAATGTTCACGATCGCTTATAATTTTTGAAAAAAAAAATTATTTTCGTTATTTTTAACGTTTTAGTACCTTCGGAAAATGTATTACAACTTTTGACGCATAGTAGCTAGGTTAATAGTATAAACTACGTTATGTCCCTCTTGATTTGCTATTTTTCGAGCAGTGATCACTGCTATGCTTTAGTCAGTGGTTCTTTTTTAATAATGGTGTAAATTAACAGTTGTATTAAATTAGTTTTAAAAGAAAAACGCGATCAAACAATTAAGTTTAATTCAATTATTTTAGATTTTTTATTTTTTTCTTTATTTTTTGTTCTTTTACACTAAATGTTCTGTAGCTGATAGTAACTTACAATGTCCATTGTACATTATAATTTGGATTGTTTACTTTATTTTGGTTAAAACCTCTCAGATCACCTGACTTCACACCTTTAGATTCTTTTTATGGGACAAAATCAAAAATGAGGTGTATAATACACCAGTAAGGTCTCGTAAGGTATTAAAAAATAAATCGAGTTAGAAATTGTATTACCTAAATATCTCCGCAGGAATAACGTCGAGTCGTTAGATCGACAATACGCAAGATACAATTATGTCAAAATCGAGGCGGGAGCATTTTGAAAATTAGTTTTTTTGAACTTACAATTGAATTAAATTTAATTGTTGGATAGCGTTTTTCTTTTAAAACTAATTTAATACAACTGTTAATTTACATCATTATTAAAAAAGAGCCACTAACTAAAGCATAGCACTGCTCGAGGAATAGCAAATCAAGAGGGACATAACGTAGTTTGTACTATTAACCTAGCTACTATGCGTCAAAAGTTGTAATACATTTTCCGAAGGTACTAAAACGTTAAAAATAACGAAAATAATTTTTTTTTCAAAAATTATAAGCGATCGTGAACATTTTTTCAAATAAAAGTTATGTGAAATTATACTGTCTACCCAACTGAAGAAAAAAAATTATAGATTTAAAAAAATAGCGAAATTAGTACTCACATCCGGTGTAACCGGAAGTACAAAAAGAATGATTTCATGTCGTAATAATCCGTTTTAGCGACCTAACTATGCATTCCAAATGGTTTTCTTATATCACTAATAATAAAGAAAAATATGGGGGTGAGCCACTTTTGAGGGACACCCGGTATATTTCGCCCCGATTTCCAACCCTTATAACTCGCCCCAAGGGCTTTATTAGCACGTATAAAAAAATACGTAAACCTTATTTTTGGCCATACTATCGCTGTACCAAATTTCAACAAAATCGGTGAGGGACAGTTCTGATACTTCCCTTGTCAATTAACTTTCCTACTTGGCCTTAAATTTTTAATGGCTCATCTTTTAAATTATTTCATATAGAAAAATTATCATAAATTATAATAAGAAATTCATAAATTTCCAATAAATATTGATTTTGATGAATATTTAAAGAAATTAATTATTTTTTTAAAATTTCATAATAAACTCAAAACAAATGTTACACATGTGATTTGGGTGAGTGAATCATACTGTATTGGTCAACGAAAAAAGGAGGTAAAATTATCGGTGGGGGGCAAATTAAACTCCACATGACCTCAAGGTCACGAACGAAGAATGAATGTAAAGGCCGCGACCGATCGAAAGTGCCGGCGAAAGTCAAGTTCATTGCGGGTTTTACACACACATAGATGAGAGAGAACGTGTTTAATGTTTTAGCGCCGCGACGGGTAAACGATCTCGAGCACCGTCATTGGCCCGATATCCCATGGGCGTCCCGGTTGGGGAAGGAAGGGGCTCCATCATCTGGGATTGGTCCGCTGTGCACCTATTTGTTGACTACCTGTGCTTAACCTGACGCTCGACGTCGCGACGCTTCAGTTACTAACGACGTCCCGAACGATTTGGGGGTTGATTTTCAGTTTATTTTATTCTTGTGAAGTTATCGTCGATACAAAAAACACGAGTGTCCACTTATTTCACAGTAGTGCCTTCACTAAAATCTTTTCTTAATGCTTCATAAAGGTAAGAAAAGGATAATGTTAAAATTTAAAAAGTAAAAAAGAAATGATAAATATTTATTTTTGATACAATTCAATCTTTTTAAAATTGGTGGAGGAGCCGGGAAGATTCCACTAAAAATATTATATTATTTTTCTTCCTGAATCAAAAAGATTGAATCATACAACAATATAACATTTATGTTGATTTTGCAATTGTTTTTTTTATCATTAATTTCATTTCGTTATCTTAATAGGATCTCATTTGATGAAAATCTGAATACAAACTCGCTAAAATAGAAATAATCGTGCCAGAACTTACGTAAGCAACTCGGTTAATCAATTTTATCGCAACGTCCATCCAAACCGTTGGGTATGGACTGAGTTTAAGGTCCAAAAATAAAAAAAAGGTTGGCCCTGCTGTTACTACCACCACTGAATCGACCGTTATCTTAGCCTTGCTAAAAAAATCGGAAGTTCACAGACACCACCTTCGTGATTTCAGCATATTTTACCTTAAAATAGAACTTAGAGTTATCAGGGATATTATTTTCTTATCTTTCAATAAAAAAAGGTACATTTTCCATTTTAGTTCTTCTATTTTAGTAATACTTTTAATACAATTTCAGAGAAAAATATATTTGAATCATAAGTTTTACACAGATCGTAAAGGTTTTCGTAAAGCTTTGCAAGTTTTCGGGGTTGACTGCATGTGCCGAAGAGCACGTTTTCTATCGATCGCCACGTTCACAATGCCCTATATTCTCAAAGTCCATTCCATCTGGAGCGACGACGATGCCGCATCGTCCGACGGTAGCGAGCTTTTAAGCTGGACGAGCTTTCGAGAAAGCAGGCCGCGCGTCATTTAACGGTCGCAGCTTTTCGGGGAAAATTACCTCGATAAAGTCAAAGTGTTCCCCTTACAAATAACCTGTCGGTTATTTGTACTTTCAATGTTGTCAAAATCATTAAAAAATAAACAGTAATTAAAATTTTATTTTAATTAATTCAAATATGAATGAGTGTTAATGAATCGGGATTTATTATTAATTGTGTAGTCTTGAGCTCACAGATACCTGTTGCTTTAACCTACTTTTTTTATTTATTTCAGATTAAAAATTCACTGCCCTGATTATTTGCATTCATAGAGGAGTAGTTGCAATACACATGGAACTTAGGACTATCAGGTAATTTTATATAAAATTTTTGTTTTTGGGCAATCGAAGGAAAAATTAATAAAGTTAATAAAATAATAAATAAAATAGTAACGTGTTTGTGACATACCCCTCAAGCATGGAAGTAACTTTTTGTGTCCTTCAATGTTCAATATAAAATTTTGTGACGTTTTACAATCAAAATAACAATTAAATTATTATGATATAAAAATAAAAGATGTTTGGAGGAACACGTTTTGGACGGTAACTTTTGCGATGTTTATGGCAGTGGGAAGTTTTACGATTCCGCCCATTTGTCGTTATATTTATCTTTTATGCAATATGCCTCTCTCATAAAATCCAAATAACTTTTTGAGAATCCTTACGTTTTTTTTCATATTTTGCACGCATTATTACATATCACGAACTTTATATCACGGGGCTATTTAAAGAATAAATCAATTTTACAATGAATTGGCCAAAAAGTTTATTTTTCGATCATAGCACCTCGGGCGCAAGTAACCTTGGCTACAGTTTATCTCATATACAGTGTGCCCGTAAAGTAACGGATATACGCGATAAAATCATTCTAAACGATTTATGGCAAAATTCCTGAAACGGGTCTAGAGATTTAAATTTTTTTCAATTTCTTGGTGTAGATTTTAAATTTGTTCCGCCATTTTTAACCGAGTTATGACATCATCGATATTTTTTCAGATGGCTATCTCCTATTTTTATTACGAAATATGAAACAATTTTTTCTGAATCTAGTAAATCAATATTATTGTATGTTCGAGAAAAATTACGATTTACTATTAAACAATTTCCTAAGTGTCAGAAACTGATTTAGTAAGTAGTTGACCTCTTTAATGCAACATATCCTGATCGCCAACTTATTAGCCAAAGTATGGTAGGGTTACCTCTGACTAAATTTAAAAAGCATGGGCACCTACGAGATTTCTGAAGTCTGGCCGACCAAATGTTACCATGTGGGGTATTGGGTCGAATTTGACGTTGTTATTTCTATAAAGTAAACCTCATTCACGAGCAATGTGTCGTAGTTTTTGCAACTACAATCTTGCAGCGATGACGAAGACTTTGTCAAAAACATTATTTTTTCCTGGGCTACCCAAAATCCACATTGGGAAAGATGTGTGGACCGAAATAGTACGGGATACTATCCTGGGTTCTTACTTTTTTGTGGAAACCTTAACTAGAGAGAGATGTTTAGATTTTTTCAAAACAAAAATATAATATTAATCACTGAGCCTCGACCGCAAGCGATCTTGGTAATCCCAATCTATAAAAAAGGAGGCAACACCTGCTATCATAACTATCATCCAATAGCACTCATATCGAATCTTGCAAAAATTTATGAGAAGCTTGTACACAACAGAATTATAAATTATTTAAACAAATATAATACACTGTTGGAAATAATTCACGAGCACACCCGATATAATCTGAACGCGTGAAGATAAATCCATAATATTTGCGGAGCACAAAGGTTTACTGTAGACGAGTTTATTCAGGGAGTTTCGAGTTATTCCATCGCGGCATTGTTGACTGAGCCGCCCTTCTAAGTGGAACATTCCGTCGCTATGGAGACCGAAGTGGATGGAAAATACCGGTCGTTTTTAGTGTGGTGTGAGGAACCAGATTGTTATCGTACTCTGCGCGCAATGGATGGGCGATCGCGTTACTTAAGCGAGTTTGAGCGAGGAATGTTTGTGGGTATGCACATTGAGGGTGTATCGTTCGTGCGGTCGTCTCGATCGGCAGTGCAACGGGCATGGCGAGAATGGTCTGAGGTAGGACATAGGTACCTTCAGCCGTGGCCAGGACGGCCCTGCGCGTCCCCAGCACATGAGGATCGCGCTCTTGTGCTCAGCGCTTTAGCGTCGTGTGTGTCCTCCTCAAGGCAACTTCGAGCTGTTTGGCCACGGGCGAATAAGGCGCACTCATTATGCGAATTGTACGGCGGCGTTTGGTAGGTAGTGGACTGCGCGCGCGTCGTGGGATACAGCGGATTCCAGTAACACCCGAGCACCACAGCATACGTCACGTGTGGGTCCACGCTAGGCATTAGTAGATTGCCGACTAGAGGGACATTTTGTTTTCCGACGAATCAAGATTTGAATTGAGCACCGGTGATGCGCGAATTTTAGTTCGTCGGAGCCGTGGTGATCGTCTATTCGAGCAGTGTGTGCAAGAACGCCCTATCCACCGACAACCGAGCATTATGGTATGGGGTTCAATTACATATGGTGGACGTACACGTCTGCTGCGTGTATAGCAGACTATGACGGGTCAACGATACGTAGATGAGGTGCTACGGTCCGTTGTGCTTCCCTACGTTCGGCGACTCCCAGGTCTGCTATACATGCACGACAACGTACGACAGCACATCGGGCATGTTGTACAGACCTTTCTGGAAGAGCAACATATACGAATGCTTCCATGGCTAGCTCGGTTTCCGCATCTGAATCCGATCGAACATGTTTGGGACATCACTAGTCTATGGAGGCGAGTTGAGGTGGCATGGTTGGCCATCCCTCTCGCTACAATACAGCGACTTATAGACTCCATGCCACGTCGTGTAGCGATGGTACGCGAAGCTCACGGGGGATACTCTCGCTATTGATGTTTCTCCTCCCAGCAGAGTTGTGCCGCTCTCCATGTGAGAGTAAGTTACACTACTTTAGTACTACTTCCATACCAAATTTTATTGCGCTAGACACACGTGTTCAGATTATACAGGGTGTGCTTGTGAATTATTTCCAACAGTGTATATTGCACGAGAATCAAAATGGTTTTTGGAAGCGAAGATCCACCGAACTTGCGATTTTTCAACTATTGGAAAATATTATCTTGGGATTTAATGGAAAACAGGCCACAACAGTTGGAGAGACTTGGATTCAGAGGTGTTAGCTTCTTATGGATGAAATCCATCCTATCTATCAGGGAGGTTACAATGTGTAGTTGCCCACAATGAACAAAGAACAGAAATAAGATCAGCTTGGAGGTAAGTCAAGTTGGGAGTACCTCAGGGGTCCATATTGGGTCCTCTATTGTTCCTCCTGTATGTGAATGAGTTACCACGAGTAACGAACAACATTACGATCACAACGACCATTGTGAGGTGTAGCACTGATTATGAAATCCAGAAATCACTTCTTGTGGATCTGAATAAACTTGCGGATTGGTTTGAAGCACACAACATGAAGTTAAGTACAAAAGAAAAACGAAAATTGTTAATTATCACTTATGCTCTGATCAGATCACGGCGAGTTATCGGGATACTGAGATTGTCAGTGTTGAAGAGATTTTGTTTCTGGGTTTGAAAATGGATCCTGGATTATCTTGGACCAATCATATTGATTTAATTGCTGGCAAGAGCAGTCATTTCTCATATGCCATTCGGATTATTTCCAGATCAGCTGGCATTGAGGCAGTATTAAATGCCTATTATGCATATGTTCATTCCTTGCTAAGATATGGAGTTGTCTTTTGGGGCCCTGGTGATGGTATAGATACAATCTTCATACTACAGAAGAGGTGTGTAATAGCAATCTTTGGTCTAAAAAATACTGATAGCTGTATTTTATAAAATCCATATTGGGAAAGAAAATTTGCACATCCAATATCCGCAAAAGATCAATGTGTGGAGAGAAATAGTACGGGATACTATCGTGGGTTCTTACTTTTTTTGAGGAAACCTTAACTGCAGAGAGATGATTACATTTTTTCAAAACGATATCATAATGTTGATTCAACTCAATTCCAACAGCAGTTATTCCAACAAGATAGCGCACCACCACACTTCAACAAGGTTTGCTAAATCAATTTTGACACTTAAAAAATTGTTTAAAATAATTGGTTATCATAGTTACTCATGGGTACTGCTATTTTTATCATGTCAAGCAAATTTCAAGTAGTTAAACTTTAAAGTGATTTTTCTCGAAAACACCAATAAATTTCAAAAAAATCTCATCAATCTAATGATTTTATCGCTTCTATCCGCTACTTTTCGGACTCACTGTATAATAGTTTAAGATAAGTATAAGATAATAGTTTAATCTTATATCAGTATAATTTCTTGTTTAAGATAAAATTTCACTTTGGTAGGGTAAATTATACAATTACTGGATAGTTTGGGCTTTTCTTAGACAATTCAGTCTTAAAAAATTTTGATATAACACAAATCTGCGTTTCTTACATAATTACTGAAACCACCAATTACATTTTTAATTATTTATTGCAAAAAAAGTACAAACATTGGAAACATCGGTTACAGTTATTGTACATATGTTAATTATAATTTATTGTGTCTTTCCAAAGAAAATTTCTATTAAATATTTTAATCAATAGTGTATTCCCTAACATTAATATTTGTACGCTTTTGTATTTTACGTAATTTTTTTATTATGAAACTGCATAACCAAATATATTTGAAATCACGTGATTTGTTTTAACTTTTGACAATAAGTTGAAAATTGTATTATTTTTCTATTTAATTTTATTTTCAATTGTTTGTCATTTGATATGTTTGATATGTCTATAACTCGAAACCGGTTCCGAATAAATAAAATATTTAAACCAGGTAAGAAATATTTACAATAAATTCATCGAATTGGCAACATGGATCCCAAATATATTTAATTATAATACATTACTGCTGAAACTTAATATTATACACACAACGCGCTTATTTCGGATAAATTTTTTTCATTTCATGTATGTGCTCATTGTATAAAATAACTTTTTCAACTTCATTCAATTCTTCAAGCTGTATTTTGTCGCCTTCCTGTTGTTTCTTGCCTTACTGATATTATTTTTTATGGAAACTTTATTTATATTTTTCACACTTCAAGTTAGTCTTATTTTGACACGTTTTTCCGCAAACAAAACATTTCAGTTCAGTAGTATTGTCTTCTTTCAGTATATGCCTTTCGGTGTTTCGTTTGCCTTTACGTTTCGGCGTATTTGGTAAGGTGAGGTAATTGCTAAATAAACCTGATTTGATCACGTCGGGTCGGTGTAAGGTCCAAAACTCTCCTTATCCCTTGAATGTTTGACTTAAAAATCAAATATTGATTTGGACACATTATATTTGTTGGTAATATCTCTTAGAGAAGATTTAAATTTCTGCATTTCTTGAATGGCCAACAACATGTGTCTTAGATCATATCGCCTTTTGACCATCTTTTTGGCTTTTTTATAGCTTTTTCCAGTGTCTACTACTGACCAAAAATAATATAATTATTGGACATTGGAACAGTTTACCCTTTTAGGTTAGAAACGCTAAAGATACTACGTTACGCCATTTTACAGACCATAAAGTACATTTTGGAGTTGGATAATAATCACAACTTGCCTTAATGTTTCACAATCAACCTCACAAAAAAAGATAAACCTTGACAAAACCTTTAGCAAAATGACTTGCAGTGGCACCGACGATGTTCAGGTTAACTTAACATAGTCCAGGCATCAATCTACCACCAACAACCAAGCTGTGATACATAAACCTGCGCAAAGTTCTTGTTTCTTAAAAATAAATCTGTGGTGTCCAATAACATAATTTTCCAATAATTGTATGGTTTACCCTATATAAATACAGTCGAAAAAATCGAATTACTGAATTCGGCTCCATTTTCCTCAGCCCATTTTATACAAGTGTTAAAACTGCCCATTGCCTCTTCATGTTTCACTTTTGATTCATCTATAACGGTTTCATTATCTGAAACACAATCCATTCGTTAACAGTTTGAGTGCAGAACAAATTTTGTAAGCATATGCCAAAAATGCGGATGAGGGCAGTCACTCTCTCCGCAATTTTAACATAAAACTGTAGGAGTGCTATCGCGCTCCTCCGCACTCAAACAGTTAAGTTCAGTTTCGTTATGCTGATGATTATCAGACGAAATTTGTTGCAACATGTTTCTGATTTCAAAAAATTCGTGCTGATTGTCTTTAGGAAGTAGCTTTTCTGTTACGGGAGTTAATGGACGATCATCATCTAAATTCATCTTCAGATGATGTTGCCGTGGAAGGATTATCAGTAGAACAAGATAATATTTTTCTCCGTTCTCCCAAAAGCGCGAGAGAATAAAGTCTGAATCCATCAAGTTCATATGTTTGAGGACGTCTTCGAAAACCAAAATATGGGCCAAAACACTTTTTCAATAATAAGTTATGTTAGCTGTATGGAATTCTGATCCATAAATAACGGGGTTGCAATTAGGCTGCAAAAATATGGCGCCTCTGAAGCGTGACTGCAAGCATTACCAATTCATAGCAACATCTTTCCATTAAGATTGTTCTCTTTTTGAAATATACTCAACTAGAATAGTAGCGTTTTTTAAAAGATCTGCGATTTTTTTTGCCAATAACCATCATTTTGAGTTTATGAGTACCATCACCAATGGCACAAGCGAGAAAAGTTATTCTCTCTTTGGAATTTTCTCACTTTGGCGTTGAGGTTTCTTTGACATTTGCTAATATATGATCTGAGAGCAGCTTCTAAATTGTGCTGATTCATCAGTACTGTACATCTGGCTAGATAATAACCTCAGCGAGTTAATTTTTTCTGTAAAGTTTTTCAGAAGAGGCTGAACCAGTGTAGGATCGCTTGACAGCTTACTTGCAATAACGTTGTTATCATTGTAATGTTTGGCATAAATCTGCATAATCTTTTCCCTTAGAACAGTGGTAGTTACGTTCGTGTACTCTTTGTGATAAGAACGGTATATCGTTAGGGGGTAATCTGAATCCAAGTTGATTACGTCAAGTACTCTTTTTACGAGATAGGATCGTTGCCCCCACGCTCAATCCCCAACCTGGTGAGCCTGTTGGAGTTACGATATCTTAGACGAGGTGTTCCGGTTTTGAGGCGCAAGCAGTTCATCTTTCACCGACCTTATTCTGGGACCGATTTGCCAATTTAGCAGAACATTTACGCCATTCCAATTTTTGTGTCATTTCTTAGATTTCTTTATATGCAGTGATATCCATATGCCGGACACTTTTTTGACTTTATGGCCAAGATTTTCTATGACATATTGAGATTGTTTAGGTCTGAGGTAAGACAGGTAACATCCTATGTATTTGTTTAGGCGATCATCTTGATGACCATTCAGGATCTTTATTGTGTATTTCTGTGACTATTTTAAATAACAGCTTATTAGGTCGTTTGCTAGATTCTTGAGGTTATGTTGTCCCTCACTTAAGTGTTGTTATATTATAGATTTCTTCAATCAGTAGACTTCTTTACCCTGTTCGATATAGGTAGTATATAGTATATTAAAAAACAAGTTTCGTAAGACACGCTTGAAATGCACGAATTGAAGTTGAAAAACGAGTGGCGAAGCCACGAGTTTTTTAATGAATGAGTGCTTTAAGTCTTATGAAACGTGTTTTTTATGCTACTTTTTGTAATTCGCGTTTTTATACTTTTTTTAACAAAAATAAAGTAAATTTTGGCAATGTAGGGAAATAGGTATGTAGCAGTTGGTAACACCGGAACACTTGAAAATAGAAACTTTGAATTGACAATTAGAAACTGTCAAAACACAAAATATATTCACCTGAAAAAAAATGTTTGATGTACACCTCCCAAAATACGAGAAATTGCTCAGAGTCAATGTCCTCATCATTGTGGACCTTGTATTCGATGCTAAGAACGTGTTTAAACATCCATAGACAAAAATTGTCACATTGACAACTAGAAAAAATAATAACCCAAGGTCACCAACTTGAACTGGTTCCATAAAATGTTACTAAAATCTCATTACAGCATCGGATGCTGTAATAAGACTCATTACAGCACCCGTTTGAGTACTGTTATAGCTTCCATTACCGTAGCGAATTACAAAAAATAATTTTACGATCGGTTGCCCAAAAACATACATAAGACATGCTTTATTTTTGACAGTCTCTATTGTGCCTCGGCTATAACTGAAAGGCTACAATATTATTCAAAAGTCAAAGATAAATCTTAGCGGTCTTGATATACCTGATTATTTTTGTTGTAAATAGATTTTTTTAGGTTATTATACAGCTAACAGCAAATAAAATAGCAATTTTAGAAACATGGAGCACATAAATTCTACCAGTATAAGTTCTCAACACGGAGATTGCGATGGAAATCTTCAACCGCCTCAATCGCGTGGACGGGTAAGAAAAAAATCCACGAAATAAAAATGAATCCATTTCTTGCTTTAATTTTTTTTCTAACCTGATCTAATCTTTTTCCGGTTTCATCCTAAACAAAAAAAATTCTTTTGTGATTATCATGAGTTATTACATTTCTTTTGGCTTTTGGTTTCCGGGGGCGCACTTCAACCCAAAAAATCTCTGCCTCCTCTTCCAGAACAACTCTACGAAATCGAAACTTCTTCGCAGCCACGCGATGCGAGAGGAGGCGTCGCCTCCCAGGGAACCAACGCCGACTTCTCTATCCCCGTCACATTTAAAAGGTCCCCTTTTAACGCTGCCGTCCTCCAGGGGCCACTCGCCCATCAATCCGTGCGTTGTGGTAAGTCCTTCACATCCGACCACCACCATCAAATCCAGCGATGTATCTTCGACGACCATCTGCATATCTCCAACTGCCACACTCACACCGCCGCCTACGACAAAATGTAGTCCAAGAAACTTGTCACCAATACAACAGGACCATTACGATGCCGAAGAAGTCGTATATTCCAAAAGTGGTAATGGTACAGTTAAGGTTAATGGCAAAAGAGAGAGTTTTCATCATCATGAAAGGGTAGAAAAAAATTACGGACATCACGATAGGTATCATGAGAGAGATATTGTTGAAGAAGTTGACCATGAAGACGATGAAGAAGCAGAAGAAAGAGAATACGTGAGAAGGAAAAATGGGAGATTGAAGATTGAGTGTGGATGCGGGGGCGAAGTGCAATGTTGTAGCAAGTGTTTGAGGAATTTCAACAACAATTTAAGTTGTGTGAATAATAATGGTGGCTTCGGTGGAAATACTCTCTCGGTAACAAGGGCTGGATCTAGAGGCAGTTTAAGACATCAAGGGTCATCACAAGGAAGCTTCGAATCGAATTATACCAGTTCTCCACGACTGAGTAGAGGTTTGTTTAAAAGAAAGTGCTTAAAGAATTATTGCCAAAAATTAATTTTAGATAATAGTGCCGAAATCTATACAGATACTACAGGAGTGAATCTAGTCAAATTTATACAAGAAACTTTAAATAAAAATATGAAAGATAGACAGCTTTTACTTAAAATAGAACAAGAACTTTTAACACTTTGTGAATGTAATGAGTAAGTTATTTAATATATGTGTTAATTATAAAGTTACTACCTCCGTTCCAAAATAAGTGTCTGATTTGAGATTTTTTATAGGATTATTGAATAAACAAAAAAAAAAGTTGTAATTATGAATTTATTTATATGCAGGTGTCCCGCAACGATTGTACAAAACTGCATCAGCGTATTCTATGATCGTTGTCTAATCAAAAAAAAATAATAATACTTCTCGAAATTATTATTTTACTATTTAATTTAATAAAACTATTAAGTATGGCTCCTATTAATTACTCCAAGGAAGAGATGGCGGATATGGTGTATTGTTACGGACTAGCTGATGGAAATGCGTCGTTAGCAGCTCGTCATTACGCGCAAAGGTTCCCGAACAGACGATTGCCTAATAGTCACACCTTTAGCAGACTATTTCTCAGATTAAAAGAAACGGGAAGCGTAACCCACAGCCATTCCACGGAGAGACATTACACAAGGCCGGTGGAATTAGAAGAAGCAGTTTTGAGAAGAGTCGATGAAAATGCCTCAACCAGCATTAGAAGAATTTCTGCACAAGAAAACATTAACAAAACAACCGTTCACCGCATTTTAAGGGAGCAGTTGCTTTATCCTTATCATTACAACACCGTTCAAGCTCTAACAGAAAATGATGGCGAAAAAAGAGAGATTTTTTGTAGGTGGGCCATACAGGAAGAGGTAGTAAACGTCGACTTTCCCATAAACATTGTATTTACGGATGAAGCAACATTTACTCAAAGCGGAATTTTTAATATTCATAATGCGCACGTTTGGAGCGATGAAAATCCCCATGCAATACTAGAAACTCATCATCAGTGGCGATTCAGTGTTAATGTATGGGCTGGAGTTATAGGTGATCAGTTATTAGGTCCATTTTTTCTTCCAAAGAGATTGACAGCCGATGCCTACATACATTTTTTACAAAATGACCTTACAGAGGCATTTGATGAATTACCTCAACAAATTCTAGAAGATTGCTACTTTATGCACGATTATGCACGCGCTACTCGAGCATACTTAAATAACAGATTTGGCAATAAGTGGATTGGCCGAGGAGGGCCACCTCGTTCACCAGATTTAAATCCGTTAGATTTTTGGTTTTGGGGACATTTAAAACAAATTGTTTATTCTGAAGACGTTCAAAATGTGCAGGATTTGAAGAATAAAATTAGTAACGCATTTGACACAGTAAAACAAATTCCTGGTATCTTTGAACGCATTAGAAGTTCATTTAGAAAACGTATCCGTTTGTGTTTAGAAGTAAATGGTGCGCATATTGAACATTTATTATGACATGAATCTTTTCCAATTTGTTAAATATTCGTTGTTTTTATGCTGGTTGAACGATTTTCTTCGACAATCTTTGTTACTTGTTTTGTTAAATTATTAATGAACTGTATTAATTAACTTAATATTATCTTATTATTTATTAAACTTTATCTTAACCATCGTAACCATGGTAATCATATAATTACTGCATCTAAATCGTTAGAATTAATGATGTTTACAATAGGTCAGCTTATGAAACTAAAACTTTGAATATCTCGAAATTGGTCCATTTTCGGACCTATGTTTATTAGACTTTTCTTGTCTGTTTTCGATCAGAGAATACGCTGATGCAGTGTTGTACAATCGTTGCGGGACACCCTGTAGAACACATATTCACTGATCATAGTAGGTCGGGTATGTTTATGACAGTAGAAATTTAAACCAGTGTCAATTACTAAATCATGATAAAAAAAAAGTTAATTTTATATAAAGTAGCCAAGTATAAAAATTGAAAAAAATCATGTCAGAAAATATACGAAATTATAAAGGAGCGTTGAAAAAAGCTAATTTAAGCAACGAGCTGCGACAAGGTGTCTTACAATATCTGTTGAAAAACGTAAGCAATGAAAAGTTGAAAAACGTAAGCAATGAAAAGTTGAAACACGGTGCAATTAAGCAGTGCAGCACCAAATTCAACGTTTGTACGCGGACAATAAACCGAATTTGGAATACAGCAAAACAGGATTATAATGTCGGATCTTGTACAGGGTGTCCCAATTTCGATGTCCGCATAGGCTATCTCCGAAACTAAAAGAGATAGAAAAAAAGTAGCTTACATGTCATGATCTCGTTTTTCGAGAAAATGCTAATGCCGAAAACTCCGAACCTTACAGCGTCGTTG